TGACGTCTGTGAGCCAGGCCCTGGGTCCTCCCGGGCTGATTCCTGGCGCCTGGCCGGAGCGCTGTGCCTCCTTTTCTGGGAGTGGCCACCATCCCAGAGTGAGACTCTGCCTGGGAACTCGATCTTTCGATGGGATTTGAGGACAGGCAAAGGGGCTTTCTGAAGAGCTCCAGGCAGTTCAGACCAAAGTGAGCCAGAGCAGTCACTGGCTTCCCGGGGCCCAGCCAGCCCCCGGCGGGGCCTCCGCCACGTCAGTCGCCGGCCCCGTGGTGGGTGGGGGAAGATCAGCGTCCTCACTGGAGCTTCAGGGGATGAGCGGACGCCTGGCATCAGCATACGTGAGTGTGAGTGGGTGCAGCCCAGGCACTCAGGCCTTTGCGTGGCGGAGCCCCTGTCTGCTGCCCCTGGGCCCCCTGGGGCCTGTTGTCCTCTCTGTCCTTTGCCTTCTGGCCTCTCGCGGTGCCGTTGGTGCCAGACCAGCAGCTGTTGAGCTGAATAGACAGGGTGTCGTTCCCTTTTCCCCCAAGTGCGTGTTGTCTGGAAATGAAGCACCGTGTTTCCTGCTTGTGCTCAACACCTCTTTCGGCAAGTGGACCCAGCTCCAATTCCGTGGAGAGGGGACGAGAGGGCTTGTGGGGTGCTTGGCTCCTGGGGTCCCATTCCTCATTCTCCCCTTGCCTCGTCCCCCGAGCAGCAGAGTTTTTTTTTTGGTTTTTTTTTTTGTTCTTCAGTCTAGTTGTGGAGGACGTTGCTTCACTGGCCCAAGTTGGCACCATCATTGCGCTCTTCCCGGGCGAGGCAGATCAGTCGCCGGCTTCTGGACGGCCGCTCACTGCGGCTGCTGGCCACTCACGCTGGCTGCTGGCTACACATGGTAGCTTATGGCAACCCACTGCAGCAGGGACTGCAGCCTACGCCGTCACTGGCGACTCACGGCAGCCCAGCTCCAGGTTGAGCTGTTGTTCAGCATCTTAGCTGTGGAGGGCAGTGTCACTGGCCCTCATATGTGGGATCTGAACCGGGTCTCTCTGACGTCCCAAGCGAGTTCTTAACCATCGCGCCACTCGGCCGGCCCGCAGCAGAGTTTTAATAGAGGAGGGATGTTGGCTCGCGCTGTGCTTGAACCTCTGAACCGCAGCTGGGCGTCTTCCTCTGCTCTGTGTGGTCCTACACGGCTCTCCATCATGGTACCTGCTCGCCTGCTGGTCTCCCTGGCGGCTCCTTGCCTGTCCGGAGTGGGATGCCTGCCACGTCGTGGGCCTTAGCAGTGAGGAGGGGACGTCCGGAAGTGCTGCAGGTGGGGGGGGGGAGTGGAGCGACGCCCTTGGCGTTCAGGGAGGGTGTGGCAGAAGCTGTGGACAAACCATCTGTATCCTATTCTCTGGGGTGTTGGGAATGGAAGGCTCGGTGCAGACAGGACCACACTTCAGCGGCTGTGGGACCTCGGTGACGACATTTCATCTGATGGAGTCTGGCCATGTGCATGAACATGAACAACGGGGCTGGCTATCCATGTGGCCGAAAGGGGACCCACTGAGAGACACCTGGCTGGTCCTTCGTAAACATGTACTTCCTTTCTGGGCTGAGGGACTGGCTCCGCCCATGTGGGCAGAAGAGCAGCCTGGGGTTCAGGCTCTCCCCTGCCATCGCTAGCATCGACCACGACGGTCCATATGGCTGTGGCTCAGATGGCGAGCAGTGGGATGTAGATCGGGGTGGGGGCCATCCTGAGACCCAGGTCGCAGCTGTGACCTTCCTGAACCCACCCGTCAGCCCTCAGAAATGGTTTGCTTTGCATTCGTCATTATGCACGTCTGCAGAACGTGTCCCCTGTACCTGGGGTTTGTTGAAGTTGTAGCACCATGGTTTTTGCATGCAGTGTACGTGCATGCGTGCATGTGCGCGCACACGCTGTATTTCCAATTGACTATATAGCAGTAATCAAAGGGGAACCTTCCACGCCCCACAGAGAACCTCCAGAGACAGCGCAGTGAGCCGAATGACCGAGAGGGTGAGTGTGCGTGCCCAGATGCTGCCGGACTCCTGGCTGTGGCCGGCTGTGGGAGCCCGGACCAGGGCTCCTGGGCACACACGGAACAGGGAACCACTGTCTCAGCCATGAGCCTGGCTCGGCTAACAGGACATGGCGATTAGAGCATCTCTGGGGAAAGAATTGCCGATTTCCCTCTTGTTTTTGCAGAAGGGAAGGCAGGCATCCAGGCGTCAGCTGACTGGAAGGGCACTGGGAGCCCTCTTTGTCCCGGGCCCCGGGACTGAGCGATGCTGGGGTGCAGGAGGCCAGGTGCAGAGTCCCAGGATGGCGTGGTGACCGGCACAGCACGGTTTGTGCCCCCTTGTGCTCCCCCTCGCGTTGGGGGGGTCCAGTGAGGCAGGTCCCAGCTTTTTGATCCCAAACCAAACATGGCTCCTGCTTTTCCATCAGGCTTGCTCCTTTGGGGGGATGGGGAGCGAGGCAGGCAGGGGAAGCCGCCTTCTGGCACTGAGCTCTAATACCCTGTCCTTGCGTGAACGCTGTGGGAGCAGCGGAGCCGGTGGTCACGTCCGTGTGGACGTCTCTCTGTTTTAAAAATAAGAAATATGAAGGGTGATCTGAGCTATGGAGATGAAAAGGCAGAGCAGTCCTTGTCTGCTCCCTTCCCGCACTCCTGCCCCCCAGGAGTCGTTACTGTTTTTCTAGAACAAGAAGGAAAGAGTTTTATTTGTAGGAGTCTTTTTATTTTTTTCCCCCCTTAATGATGTGGTGGGTGGTGGTAGCATGTTTTTATTTTATGTTTTTTTTTTATCCCTCGCTGCTTTGGAGAGGGTGACAGTGTTTGAGTTTGGGGTGCGAGTGTGTGGGGGGACATGTTCTCTTGGAGAGGAATGGTACGAGCAGATGTTACACCCCCATGTCTAGAAGGTGTGGGGACTTGGAGGATGGCGCTGCGTGGGGGTGAGGAAGGACCCGAGTTATATAAGATCGGGGGGAGGAGGGTGGCTCGGGGACGCAGACGGAGCCTGGGGACGCAGGCTGATGTCCTCCTCAGGGCCCTCAGAGAAGGCAGCCGGGGCCGTCTGCTGGGAGCCTGGTGGCCGTGTGGTGGCAGGTCAGCCCGCAGGTGGATATCAGGGTGTCGGGGTGCGTGGGGCAGGCGGGGGCTGGTGGGATGGAGGGTGGGGGAGCCACCTTCTAGAAGCTGCCGGAGGACTCCCCCTTTCTCTGCTCTCCCCGCCCCCCTCTCCTCCTCCTCTCTGCCTCTTTCTCTACATCAATTCCCTGGCAACTGGAGACAGGCCTCCCTGTCTTTCTTGCTTCCTCCATGCTCCTTCCACCGACACCGTAATCACCACGTGACAGCGGAGCAGCACACGGCAAGGGGCGACGGGCGTCCTGAGCCGGACAGCTCACTAAGAGCCGGCTCTGGTCCTAGACAAGACAAAAACCTGAGCAGGTGACACTGAAACAGGGAGCAGCCGGCATTGGGCCCAGGCACCCCGGCTGACCTACCAGTCACGGGAACAGCTTCCTCACCTGCTCAGCGGGGTCACCGTGAGGATGACCGCCCAAACACTGCGGACCTGCCCTCAACCTTAGCATGCAGGAAGGCGCCCTGAAATTCGGTGGGCGGGGTTCAGAGAGGGTGTTGAAGCCCCTCTGTCCCCAGGTTCCTCAGTCAGTGAGCGTCATTCTCTTGGCACCCCAGCCACCCTCACTGCCCTATGCTGCGGACACTGGCTGCGTCTTTCCTGGGTGACCAGTCGCTCTAAACTTTCACGGGGCAGTAGCCAGGATCCACGCTGGCCCGTGGACTTCCAGCTCTGTCTGCACTAAGGAGCTAATGGGCTTTGTGCCTAAGAC